GAAATATCCTGAAGACGTTATGCCAAAACTATCCATTAGCAAAACGAAATTACAGATTTCAGTGCTCAGCATGAGTGACTGTAGCTTTAACGGCCGCTCAAACAAGAGAACATCACCAAGTGTAACGCACTTACTGGCAATTTCACTGTATCCTTGTAAAAAAAATGTTGCAGCAAAAAGTCTCTGAAAAGTAATTCTCCATCCTAATGGTGGCTGTAACCAATACGCTTTGAGATAAGATCATTTCACGGCGTTTTCCACTTGGCAATGTTTCGTGCATCTTGTGTCGGAAAATTGTCAGGAAAAGTTGCAAAGAAACATTGGATAGAGTAACGGGACCAATAGTCTCACTAATTAATGTATTTAATAATGTTGTGTTTTACGTCACCTTTCCTTTTCATACTTTGAGACAAATTGCAGCTGAGACTGCTAAAACAAGGAGCTGGGGCTCCCCACGATTTACAGTTGTTCTTGTCATTCAGACCCTGAGAAAAGGGAGGGGGGCGATCTCCAAAAAACTTTTTTGGCCTTTCGGGCCTTAGTTTGGTCTAAAAATAAGGGGGAGGGGCCCTCGCCTTGATCTGCCACTGCCTGCTCCTTGTTGGGTGACCCTGAGTTGCAACCCAGAAAAACTCATTCCTTCCTATTGCGCACCATGACGAGGTGTTGGCCTATAAAATAGAAAAAAATGTGTGTTGAAGAACATGTGTACTCATCTTCGTAGATGTAGTCCACTATAAAGGTCCAAGTTGTCTAAGACACACAAAAGAAAACTATAACTTGTTCTCAACCTTGCATTCAATTCTAGCCCAATGAAAAGGTGTCTAATATCATGGGAGCTGCACTGCCGGGTGATATGACTGCGCACTTGCTTGAGGTACTGGCCATGTTTTGGGTTGGTGTATGTGTGCCCCTTGCTTTAAGTTTGTTACTGATAGTAACAAATTTGTTGAATATTCAGAAGAGAAATTTAGCGAAGATTTACTTTATGAGGGATTCAAAATTATGATAATACATGCATCTAATACATCTCTTGAAGGATAAAACCATTTTAAAACCAGTCAGTGTCTACAACACCAACAACATTCGTTGTATTAATCTATTTCTTAGCTAAAACTGTCACATGGAACTGGCAGCTCTATCCATGAATTTTGCTAGTTTGACATCTTTGCTCGACAGCCCCCCACAGTCATGGGTGGAGAGGGTCACTTGAACCCTGCTATACACATTAAACCACTCTGGGTGATGATCCATCTTCTCCGACATGAGAGCCACGCGGCTCATGAAACCAAATGCCTGGTTAAAATTCTTGAACTTAAACTCCTTGTAAATGGCATCACGGCCTTTGACATCAGTCCACCCTGAGGACTTGAGAGGCTGAAGCTCTGTTTCCCTTTCTTCATCAGTAAATTTGGCAACCTTAGATGAAGCCTGTAAAATTTTTAATTCAATTAAAGAGTTGTAAATGTCTGCACATACCTCCTTGTCAAGATCAAAATTCAAAAGGACAACTTATCTGAAGTGAAAGTTAGTGAGGGGGAACTTAGCCTTCACATCTGGCTCGATTGAGAACACTCACTCACAGGTGAGTCTTGGGAACTTTTTTATGCTCAAGCCCCAAAACATGCCTGAGAGCCTTTAAGTATGCCAATTGCTTAGACATACAAAGATTGTGCATGAAATGTAATAATAATAATAATAATAATAATAATAATAATACTTTAATTATGCTCTCACCTTGAGGGGCTTATGGTTACAATAGGCAACTGGCAACAATAGTTTAATAAGCATTTCTCAAAATTTTTACTGATTTAGTTGGCAGGTGCCCTGCATGGGACTCCAGGTCCCATTTGCACCTTACCTTCTGGTCTTTTTTTTTTCATTACTGTAACTATTTATTTAGAGAGACTCAGACCCAGGGGGCAGGCTACTTTAGGACTTTTTGGGTGGGGATGTGCTGCTGGGACCATGGAACCCTTAGCCCATACCAGAGCTAGTTCAAGTAAATTTTGCTACCCTATACTAGACTAAACTCCCCAACCCCCCCCCCCCACCCCCCTATCCTAGAATAGCTCTTTTCCAGAAACAACTGAGGTCACTAGCACAGACCGATGTGATTTTTTTATATTCTTGAGTGGGAATTCCCGGTTTCCCTAGTCTAGACTAAAATCTTCAACCGATTGATCAGTTAACATGGAAAATGATACCCTCTTCTAGATACCCTCTCCTACTGGTAGGAGGCAAACCAGTTGGCTATTTTACAAGCGTGGCCAAGGATTTGAACTCGGGACTTCAAAGAACAAATCCAGCTGGTGGTCACGGTAGGACTTGAACTCGGGGCCTCCGAATCACAAGTCCAGTGCCCTAACCACTTGACTACACCATCTGCTACAGTGGGTTAGTGTGTATTAATTCACACCAAAATACCATTGTAGCTTGTATACCTTGTTGTCTTACTTTAGGAAAGAAATTAAAGATTTTTGTCTTTCTTAGGGTTCTCAGAGAGGCTTGTGCTTGGAAAATTGCCCTCAAATACAAAGTAAAACAAAGCAAAAATGGTAAATTTACTTCCAGCTATAAGGCTAGCCCAATCGATTTTGAAACACAAATTTCCCTCCGTAGATAAGCCCCTCCGAATATAAGCCCCTCCAAAAATAAACCCCTCAAAAAGGGTCTTTGACAAATATAAGCCATGGGGCTTATTTTCGGAATTTTATGGTAATCTAAATGGGCTATTGCATTCACCCCTAATAGGCCCCGTCCAAAACTATGGTACCCTTGATGAGCCAACTATTCCAACATTTACTTTCCAAAATTTGTGAACCCTTTACATGAGAAACAAAAATTAAACTCAGCTGGAAGGGTGACCCGCCCATAATCAGCGCGAAAATTGTTGAGACATTATACTCAAATAGGGTAACTCCAGAGAACAAAAGAATCCACAACCCTCCCCTGTCCCCTCCATTCAAAGTTGGGGTGTTTGTTGTTTTCTATGGGTAGCTCAAACAGCATCACAACATTGCATGGAGGGATGGGGGTTGGAAAAGCTTTATTTTCCCCATTTGAAGTCAATAAAACATCAGAAAGCCCCTTTTGGGCAAAGTGTCTGAACTAATTTTGTCGCTGATTGAGCCACGTTACCCCTTCCTCAGTGTTAGGGTCACCCTCCTACTCAGGCCAACTTTTCTACAGATGAACACTTTGGCTCGGGTAACTTGTTAAAGGTGACAAACAATCAGAACATGCGCAAGCACTGTTAACTGGGGCAAAGGGGTCTCCTTTTCTCTTATATAAACACTCCCTAATTAGTTGACTTGGCTGGGAGGGTGACCATCTTTCCCAGGACAACCTTTCTTCCTGAAAACGAAGCCTAAGGCTTCCATAAATTTTGAGTGTACCCCAGAAGATTTTCTTGAAAAGTTACTTTTTGCTCTAAAATTTGCATCAATTCTTTATTTATCCCTGAAGATTTCCAAACAAATTTATAAACCTAGAGAATTCCATTTAGACTACCCCTAAAAATTTCTTCAACTCTTATTACTTCCATTGCTCCTCAACCCGGGGGGTGCGAAAACTTAACGCAATAGACCAATAACGAGTTAGGAGTATTTCCTCTGATTTATTTTGACCATAATGGCAAGAATGCTGGAGTTTATTCAAAATAACAAAAAAGACGACTAAGTGTATCACCAAATTCTGATACTTCATATAGATTATTTCACTCACCATGACTGGAAACGTTCTAAAAAGCCTCAAACAGTTTACACGTGAAGAAAACTGCTCCAAGAACTTGGTCATGTCGCGTCACACGATCTCCACGAGCCGTCGTCCGTAATAGAGGACTGGCACTAGGGTTCTTTTCACCGCTGGACAGTACAATAACTGTATGGGCTCATAAAACATGGCGGATGGAAGTTCGAGGGAACTTCGGAAGAGTGATGATGAATTAGATTCCTTATTAGACAGTAAGTTCCTTGCCTTCTTTCATGTTGCTGTCTCCAGATACAATCTATGCATTTAGGTACTTTTATGATAGCAGCCCTGTGCTGTTTCGTGGCTGCTTCGCCTAGTTTATCAACACACTACCCTGAACAGTTGAAGTACTGCCAGGTCTATTGCCCAATCGATGATTGTTTATAGGCGACTTGTAGACCCTTTGAGAGACGAGTATATCAGTAAAAACTTAGTTTGAATAAAGGAAATAATCGTACAGGATTAATTAACTGCCCAGTCGTGTTCATCTCAGGATTTCACCAAGGATAATTATTATGAAGACTCACTGGGCAAAGGTTAACTTTCTCTTGAGCTTGAGAACGACATAAGGGCTATTACACATCGGGATGTGGTTTTATTACATGTAGGCAACTGAAGTTGGAAGGCATTAATGTACAGAAAAGAAAAGCAAGCAGCCAGATAAACACCACTAATTTTACATTTAAGGTTATTATTTTTGTCATGAAAGGCACATTTTAGGTTTAAGTGGAGTGTCATGTTATGTTACTCTGGGCCGAGTTGCTCGAAGGCCGATAAGCGCTTAACCTGGGTTTCTTTTTCTTGTGTTCAAAAGCGTTTTCTGGGATAATTCTGATAATTTTTTTTGAGCTTCCAATCATCAACTTGCAGACAAAAAGAATTAAAACTGAAATGCTTTTTAAGCTTTCAAATCTGAATTCAAATCTCGCACTAACCCTGGGTTATCTTAACGCAGCTTTGAACAACCCGGCCCTGGGTGCCAGAGGTTTTCTTTCTGTTGTTTGCAGTGCAAATTGAACAGCAAAACGGCGATCGCGATCCCGGCTTGGCTGCTCAATTGTCGCTGCAAACAACAGGAAAAAAAAAACCTCTGGCACCCAGGGTAATGTTATGTTTACTGTGAATGACATTTACAAATGTATCCAGGTGCTCTTGAAGATTTTGACAAAAATATCCCATCAACCACAAGACAGTCAGGAAGTGTTTGCCAAAATGAGGTTCAACCAGCTGCGTGTAGTTCTACGGAAAAAACAGAATGCAACGGTGAAGAAAGAAGTGGCGGTACAGCAGGAAAGGATTCTTCTCCATCACAAGGGGATTCTAATGCTCAAATGGAAGCCCATTTTGCTAAAGCAGCAGAAGACCTTGAAAATGCTGTGAAGACAATGCTAGGAAATGAGCCTGAGTTATTAGCTCAGCTGGGTCAGTTTGCTCAAGCAACGACTCAAGCTGATCATGGTATGTTTTGGTACAATTTTACGTCCAGTACCATTAACTATCACTTATAAGCCCCCCTTGTTATAAACCCCGACTACATGTAAACAAGAAAAGGTCAATATTGTGAGCTTCCCGCAAATAAGTCCCCTCTAGCTTGTATTGGGATCTGGGGGGGTACTTTAGAACTTTTTGGGTGGGGATGTGCCACTGGGACCCTGGAACCCTTAGCCTATGCCAGAGCTAGTTCACGTGAATTTTGTTACCCTATACTAGACTAAACTCCCCTAATCTCCCCCTTTCCTAAAGAAGCTGTTTTCCAGAAACAACTGAGGTCACTAGCACAGTCCAGCCAAAACAAAACTGATTTGATTTTTTTATATTCTTGAGTGGCAATTCCCAGTTTCCCAAGTCTAGACTAAAATCTTCAGCCAATTGATCAGTTTAAAATGGAAAATGATACCCTCTTCTAGACCCAAACTCTCTGATTTGCCCTATCTTAGAGTAAAGTGCTTGAAAACCATACCCTTCACAGCGGCACATACCTATATAGCCCATATATGGCAGTACCCCCCCCCCCCCAGTATTGAAATGATTATTAATTTGATTTATTACAACATTTTGAAGCTTAACCCTTTAAGCCTCAGTATCCACTTACAAATTCTCCAGACTGATCTCTATACATTTCTTTTAAGAACAGTTGAGAGAATTTGGTTTAAGATCAAAGCATTCTCCCTTTGGTAATCAATTTAGTAATTCTCATAACCTTTATTTTTGATGATCTGCTGATGTTGTTAGGAGAAAATTGATGTTGGTCACTCTTGGGACCTAAAGGGTTAACTAATAACCAGTAAATGCAAAACGTATTTTGATCAGCATAGTATTCCTTTATGCATCTTATCAGTACGCCGTCAGATTCGCTTTTCCTTGATTACAGGTAAAAGGGAGTTGTGGGCCACCCAGAATCAGATTTTTATTTGTGTCCTTGTATCACAGGGATTTTGCATTCAAAAATAATGATACCACCCTCATTCTTCACTCCAGGAAATGTCTCTTATATGGTGACTTTTATTGAATCTCCTGGAAGATGTGCCAAAAAATTACTTATTTTTAATTAATTAATTGTTTCTGTTTTTGTGAAGCTTATTTAGACACAGGGACAGTAATCCACAAATGAGTCTTGTATTCACTCAAAAAATACACTTAGGTGTTTGATATAAATGTGTGTGATTTCCCTGCGATGCACTGTATCATCATTAATTTTCTGACCTCCCTGTGTGTGAAAGCCCTGGTTCTTGTGTCCATTGTGCTGGGGTCCTGTATTATGGTAGTTTTTAGCTTGCTTTAAGGCCGATACACACGAGTGATTTTGTTCCCAGAGCATGCTCCAGGGGCACGCTCCGGGAGCAAATTTCCTCCATGTGTACCAACAATTTCATGGGTACACATCATCCTTGGGAGCAGAATTTCCACCCCGCAAAATGCTCCACGATATTTAACTGGTTAAATATTTGGGAGCAAGCTCCCGGGGCAAATTGAGCGAACTTGAAAACGCTCCCTCGTGTGTACTGACATGTGCAAAATGAACCTGGAGCATGCTCCGGGAGCAAAACCCCTCGTGTGTGCGGCCTTTAAGCCATTAAATGTAGGAAAAAAATAATAATAATATGTTTTTCTATCTTAGATAACCCTTCATCTATGGCTGACCTTGAAGCAAATTTGACAAGAACCATGAATAATTTGGCTCAAAATGCTAAAGAACTGGAGGTATATTAAATATTGTTAAATTGATCTAAACTGATCCATAATAAGTAGGTCCAGTTGTATCACAGTAGAGTTTAACCTTTTAATTTTGAACTACATGATTTGCAAACACACCCAGTGTCCTCATGTGTTTCTCCTGGTTAATTGCAATGGACACAGATGCTTTGGAGACTACAGATACATGTACGTGAAAGGGTCTGAAAGTTTTCACCCTGAAATCATTGGACATGTCATTTTTTGCACACAATTTGCAAGATCAATACTGTTGCAAATTCTAAGAGTCTACTATCTATGGTTGGTGTAATCTGGGCAGAAAGTCTCAATTGCCTGTAAGGGGCAAAAGGGGTTGCATGTACATGAGGCCCAGAAAATATCCATACCTCTCATGGAAGGGATTTGTTTTATGACCCCCCACCCTTCAAGGGCACCCAACATCAATTTTTGGAAAATATCTGTTCGGAAGACGATTTGAGATCTAGAATTTTCTGAACATTTGTTGTAAAATTTCTTGCTTGCCTGCCTCTCCTAGGATTTTTGAACAACTAAAAAATTGTATAATTGCCCATTTTTAACAGAAATTTTCAAAAAGGTAAGTTTTGATCCCTATAATTTTTGGATCAATAGGCTTTCAGCTAGGAAATCCAAACAGATGAAAAATTTTTAGGGGATAAAAATTCATATATGCCTATATCTACCGTTTAAATACTAAAATATGTTTAACAATGCTATGTTTAAGTGGTTTGAACTATATTCTGCTTGGGTGCCCCTGACCCTTTTGACCCCTGTTGAAATTCCATTTTAATTTTCTTAAATTTCAGAGTCTTCGAGACACAACCTTGAAATTTCTACAGGGTAGTTCTTCTGTTGAGGGGTAGTATGGATATTCTCTGGAACTATGCATTGACTGAAAATGCTACATTTAGCTTGAGGCAACACACTGTTTCCTTCAGTCAGGAGTGCTCATTGTCTAGCGTAGTCTTCAGGGTCTCTCTTCTTCCCAGACTCTGGGAATGTGGTTACCTAAAATGCAGGAGCATAGTGTCCATATATGCACACTCGCCCGTGCGTACTCTAAAAGCTGGAAAAGAAATATTTTGTATTTTTATTTCCTGAAAGCATTTTTTTCATTAGATCGGGATGACTGATAAATTGTTGCATCGTAATTATTAGTGTCTTTGTGTTGGTCTGAAGGGTAGACGTCTTGCCCTTTGCTTGTACCAGTGTCACTGTTTAACCCCCGGGGGGGTGGGGGAGGGGACTCAGCATATGAAAGGGGTGGGATGCTCCCCGTCTTGCTTAGGGGTGTAAATTTTGGATTTTGGTCTCACTTTGGGTGTTCTGGGCAAAACGCCATAATATTTAGCCATGAAGGTCTCGTTCAGAGTTGCACTTGAAAAAATTTAAAAATATTTATATTGTCTGTGTTTTAACATGGTCTCTTTTAGGGGTCCAAAAAAGCTTGGCCACGTCCAGATCGGTCTGCTTTAGGGGTTTAATTCAAAATTTCCGACAAGCATCCCCACCCTTTTCATATGCAGAGTCACCCCCCCCCCCCCCCCCCCACCTTAACCTTTTTTTTTTATTCACCACCCCCCCCCCCCCCCCCCCCCGCGCGCCGCACGGGTGTGGGCGTACCCACCGCTATTAACCATAAGAAAAAACAATTTTTTTTTCCTTTTCACACCCCTCACGTGTCAACCACTACCCGGCTCCCGCGCCCCAGC